TAGTGAATCCTGAACTTGCCCACGCTCATCCAAACCGGCCTCAAAAAGCACTGGTTGTCTAGAAAGCCGATTGTCAACTTGAATGTTTACACAAGAATCTCCAATCCAAGCCTCTTTTGTCAATCCGACCTAAATTTTCCGATATGGATTGAAAGGAAGTTAGGGATGGACATAGATCCTTCCGCCTATCCGGAGTGTTGGAAATACAGCAATGTTTTTTGTATTTTTTATTTCCCGGATAAAACATGTCTTATCACCTCTTCCAATAAATGGGTGATCGATTCAGGTGCCACAAATCACATGACAGGTAATCCAAATATTTTTTTCTAGCTTTCGCTCACATAAAGCACCCTCTCCGGTTACTGTAGTTGATGGATCAACTTGTAGCAGTGTTGGATCTGGGACTGTTAAACCAACTTCCTCTATTACCCTGTCATCTATATTAAGTCTACCAAACTTGGCCTTTAACTTGATTTCTGTTAGTAAAATTACCAAAGACCTTAATTGTTGTTTTGCATTCTTTCCCGATCATTGTTTGTTTTTAGATCTCAAGACGATGCAGGTTATTGGTCAAAGATATATATCTGGTGATTTCTATATCCTTGATGAATGGGAGCCACAGTCTGTTGCATGCTCTAGTATCGTGTCTCCTTTTGAAGCACATTGTCGACTTGGACATCCCTCTTTGCCTTTGTTAAAGAAGCTCTATCCTCAATTTTAGAATTTTCATCATTAGATTGTGAGTCATGTCGATTTGCAAAACACCATCGCATCTCGTTAAGTCCAAGGGTTAATAAGCGAGCTGAGTCAGCTTTTGAGTTAGTCCATTCTGATGTTAGGGGACCATGTCCAGTTGTTTCTAAAACTGGGCATAAGTATTTTGTCACTTTTATAGATAATTTTTCTCGAATGACTTGGATTTACTTTATGAAGAGCCGCTCTGAAGTGTTTACTCATTTTTCTGCCTTTTGTGCTGAAGTCAAAACTCAATTCAATGCTTCAGTACATACTCTAAGGAGTGATAACGCTAAAGAATACATGTTAGAGTTATTTCAGTCCTACATGAGACAACATGGTATATTACATCAGTCTTCATGTGTTGATACACCCTCTCAAAATGGAGTTGTTGAGAGGAAGAATAGGCATTTACTTGAGACAGCTCGAGCACTTTTGTTCCAAATGAAAGTTCCTAAACAGTTCTGGGCTGATGCGGTTTCTACGGCTTGTTTGTTGATTAATCGCATGCCATCTAGTGTACTCGATGGTAATGTGCCTTATAGTGTTCTTTTTTCGAACAAGTCATTCTTTCCGGTGGAAACTAAGGTGTTTGGAAGCACATGTTATGTTCGAGATGTTCGACCATCTCTTACCAAGTTGGATCCCAAGGCTGTGAAGTGTGTTTTCCTGGGCTATTCTCGCCTTCAGAAGGAATATCGATATTATTCTACTGAGCTTGGCAAATATTTAGTGTCAACTGATGTGGTATTTTCAGAGACTACACCATTCTTCTATGCACCTCCAATTTCTACAAGCCAGGGGGAGGAAGATGAGTGGCTAGTATATCAGGTTACTCGTACTTTGACAGAACAATCAGATGATACTCTTCGATCTCCCAGTTCTTCTATTAAGCACCAATCGACTATTATGCCTTCAGTACCTGCTCCAACTGTGTTAGCAAGACTTTTAATTGTTCAAGTTTATTCGCGGAGGCGAGAGACAAATGATACATGTCCCGCACTAGTTCCTGCATCATCTGATCCTCATTTGCCTGATCCTCTAGATAACCTTGACCTTCCTATTGCTCTTCGCAAAGGTACACGTACTTGCAAATCGACATATTTTGTTCCTAACTTTGTTTCCTATGACCACTTATCCTCTACGTCTAGATCTATGATTGCTTCTCTAGACTCCATCTCCGTACCCAAAACAGTGAAGGAGGCTTTGAATCATCCCGGATGGTCTGATGCAATGCTTGAGGAAATACATGCTTTAGAGGATAACCACACATGGGATTTGGTAGATTTACCAAAGGGAAAGAAACTAGTGGGATGCAAGTGGGTCTTTACAGTTAAAGTTAATCCAGATAGTTCTGTGGCAAGACTTAAGGCCAGACTTGTGGCGAAAGGGTATGCTCAGACTTATGGGGTGGATTATTCTGACACTTTCTCCCCGATTGCCAAACTCACTTCTGTCCGCTTATTTATTTCTCTAGCTGCGTCCGAGAATTGGCCTTTATGTCAGTTGGATATCAAGAATGTGTTCCTTCGCGGTGATCTTTAGGAGGAAGTGTATATGGAGCAACCACCCGGTTTTGTTGCTCAAGGAGAGTACAGGAAAGCCTGTCATTTGAAGAAGTCTTTGTATGGCTTGAAGCAAAGTCCACGAGCTTGGTTTGGCAAGTTCAGTGAAGTAGTTCAGGAGTTTGGGTTGAAAATGAGTAAGTGCAATCACTCAGTCTTCTATCAGAAATTAGTAGCCGGCACTATTCTCCTTGTTGTATATGTTGATGATATTGTTATCACAGGAAGTGACTATGCGGGGGTTTCTTCCCTCAAGTCTTTTCTGCATACTAGGTTTCAAACAAAGGACTTGGGCCAGTTGAAATACTTTTTGGGAGTAGAAGTAAATGGAAGCAAGAAGGGAATTCTTTTGTCTCAGAGAAAGTACATTCTTGACTTGCTTGCAGAAACTGGAAAGTTGGCAGCTAAACCTTGCAGTACTCCAATGGTTCCTAATGTGCATCTTATGAAAGATGATGGTGATCCTTTTGATGATCCAGAGAGATATAGGAGGTTAGTTGGGAAATTAAACTACCTCACTGAGACTCGTCCAGATATTGCTTTTGCGGTAAGTGTTGTTAGCCAGTCCATGTCTGCACCAACGGTCAAACATTGGGCAGCTCTGGAATAGATTTTGAGTTACTTGAAAGGAGCTCCTGCACTTGGCATATTATATAGCAATCACAATCATACTCGTATTGAGTGTTTTGCAGATGCCGACTGGGCTGGATCGAAAATTGATAGAAGATCTACTATTGGTTATTGTGTCTTTGTTGGAGGAAACCTGGTATCATGGAGGAGTAAGAAGCAAAGTGTTGTATCCCGATCCAGTGTAGAATCCGAGTATAGAGCTATGTCCCAGTCTACATGTGAGATTATGTAGATACATCATTTGTTGACTGAAATTGGGTTAGAGCATCCAATACCTGCAAAACTCTAGTGTGACAACCAAACTGCCCTCCATATTGCGTCAAATCCGGTGTATCATGAAAGAAATAAGCATATTGAGGTTGATTGTCATTTTATTCGTGAGAAGATTCAGGAGAACTTGATCTCCACTAGATACGTGAAGACAGGAGAGCAACCGGCTGATTTGTTCACAAAGGCGTTGAATGGAATTCGAGTTGATTACCTTTGTAACAAGCTGGGCATGATCAATATTTATGCTCCAGCTTGAGGGGGAGTGTTAGATAATGAATGTAGACATAATCTAAATGTAGGCATAATCTTATATAATATACATAACTAACATAATTATAGGGATTCACGGCAGATTTATAGGATTTCCTTTTTTATTCTTTCCATAGTTAGGGCTCTATGTACTTGTATATATACTTGTTACTTCTTGAATACAACATAAGAGAGATTTCTCTATTGTCTCTGTACTTTACACACTGGTTTGCAAGTTGGGCATGTGGGACATCTTTGCACCAACTGGAGGGGAGTGTTGATTGGCTTGATTATTAGGAAAGATTTACTTCTGATTGAGATTTAATTTTATTCTGATTGAATGTAATTTATTTTCCTTCCTAAAATAGTTATAAGACCTAGTGTATAAACACATTTGCTTAGGGATGTAAGAAATACACAGAAATATAAGAAGCCTTTTCTTCTTTTCAAAATCTTCAATATGTAGCATGGACATGTTGGAAGGGAAAGATAGAATGTTGTGGGGAGGACCAGGAGCAAAGAATTATCACTAAAATCATACCAAAATTCCTGGATAATAGGTTTAGAAACCAGAATTAAGACATGGAAAACAGGACCATCTAAAATAGAAGCATTTTTGCATGGTGTGCCACTTTCTATGCCATATTTATGGCGCATAATTTGAGAGAGAGAGAACGCATTGTCGTAAGCTGGTGTTAGCTCTTATTCTTTTTGATAAGGTAAGGTATAAGAGTTACTGTTTATTTGAATTGTACTGTTGGTGTAAAAGAAAGATCTAGACACATAGTATCCATTGACCTAGAGAAAGCATGTGATAGAGCACCAAGAAAGGTCCTTTATGAAGAAAAAACAAATCCATATACGTATATAAATATCATAAAGGATAAGCATGAATGAGTCATCACTAGTGTAAAAACAGTAGTAGGAGATACAAAGGGATCAACATTGAGCCCTTACTTGTTTACCTTAGTTAAGAATGATCTAACTCATACAACACAAGATGATGTCCCATGGTGTACCAAGAAAGGTCCAATGGAAGAAAAAGATCTATAGGTGATACCTATTAGTTGGGATATTTTAGTCATGTTAGTACATCTACTTTATGTTTTATGTTTTCTCGGAGTGTTTCAGTCCTATCTGAACTTCTAGTACTAATTATTATGTTATTATTATTGTTGTTGTTGCTGCTGTTATTAGTGTAATTGTGTAATATGGGTCTATTCCTCTTTGCACATATAGTTGGATTATTTGGAAGCTAGTAGTTAAATTACTTGTAAATTTCGTACCATCTTAGTGCAATCACAATGAACTGATTATTTGATTTATCAAAAGAATTCACATAAGACAGACATTACTAGAGCTACCGCCAAACATTCAAAGTTGCTACACTGTCACAAACTAAACATTGCATTATGTAAAACCTTGTCATCATGAAGCGGCCAGTTTCAACATTATTGCACACTACATATTCTGATAAAGCAATTGACTTTTACAATTAATCAAACAACTGATTTGGGTTTGAAATAAGATGAATTAAGAAGAAGGAAAAACCTGGAGGATGGGATTAGGACGATCACAACAATAGTACTCGACGCAGAAGAGTGCATTGGAGCCTCTTTGACCAAAAACAGCACCCACAAACCGGCTGAAAATTCAAAATTAGGGCTAAACACCATTACTAAAATTACAAAGTATCGGGACCGAAACAAGCAAGAATTATATTATATGAATAAAATAAATACCGGAAATAATCGCAGACACCAAAAGTGAGGAAGAAGTGGATTTTTTGAATGAAAGTGCCATCGAAGATAGGCCATTGGCCGCAGAGGAAAGAAACCAATACTAGGAGTGTCACGAGGCCGTGGATTACAAGAAGCCATTCCACCTCCATCTGTGTTTGCTTGTGGGTGCCCTCTTCCACTCGGCATTAATAGCTTTCCACTTTTTCTTTGACTAGTATTAAGAGCCCGTTTGGATTAGGTGATATGAAGCAGTTGATAAGGGGTGTTTAAAACCACTTTTAAGTGTTAAAATTGATTTAATAAATAAGCAGTTACGTGTTTGGGTACAAGTGCTTAAATTGATAATAAGTTGATGCAGTATTTTATATTAAAATGACTTAAATAACCTTAGAACTATTTACACTTTTATTTAAAATTTTAGATTCCATATCGATTCAAATACAAAATATTCTATTTGTCATTTTATTTTAAATATAACTATGCTTATATAAGATAATTTTTATGATAAATATAATTTATTTTATGATAAACATATAATCATAAGTTATAATAATTAATAAATTGACTCTCTCCTCCTTCGGGGTAGGGCAATGTTTGCATATACACTACTCTCCCCAGACCCCACTAGTGGAATTTTACTGGGTTGTTGTAGGGGTGTTCATGGTTCGGTTTGGATCGGTTTTAAAGAAACCAAACCAAGTAAGTCAGTTTTTCAAATATTAGAACTAAACCAAACCAATTAAGTCGGTTTTTTCTCAATTCGGTTTATGTCGTTTTTTCGGTTATTTGTCGGGTTTTTCTTAAATATAAGACATACACTACCAAACACACATTTTGGCAATCATATTTTCAACGTAACACTATCAAATCAATTGACCTTTGAGAAATCTATTATTTACCAAGATATATTGATGACAATTGAATCAAACAGTGATGAATAATTTAAGGACTCAATTAAAAATATATTATTTTTAACATGAAATAGATTTTTACACTTAACAAAAGAGAACTACCAATTAAACTAGAATGTAAAGGTAAAGAACTGTACTAAAAGTGCAAACGATTAATATTTACTATAAAAAATTTAAAACTTTGTATAATAGTGTGTATACATATAGGTGTAATAATAAATTTAAAATAGCTACTCCTATATTCGGTTTGGTTCGGGTTTTTTTAATTAAAACCAAACCCAAACCAAATTTGATCGGTTTTTAAATTTCAAAACCAAAACCAAACCAAACCAAAAAGTATCGATTTTTTTGGTCAGTTTGGTTTGGTTTTCGGTTTGGTTCGGGTTTACGGATTTTTATGAACACCCCTAGGTTGTTGTTGTTGTTGTAAATTGACAAAAGTTTCTCAGTAAAAAATAAACCTAAATAGGACAAATTATTTGAAGAGAAACAAACATTGTCTTCATCACCACAACACTTAGAAAGCAATACACCAAAAATTTGATATGTCCTCATTTATTACATACAGTTCAAAGATTAATACACAATCACATAGATATAAGTATGCAAAAGAATAGAGAATTTGCTTATCTTAAATAGTCAATGAGAATTGCAGACTTGAAGAGGTAGGGGTGGGGAGAGGGGAGATGGGAAGGAGGGTTAGGTTGAATACTTGAGGCAATGAGTACCGATATAATGGTTTTGTTCTAAAAAGGAATATTTTAAGGATAAAATAGTAAAAATCTTGGTCAAACTTAAAGTGTTTATAAGCTAAAAATTCATAAGTTGTGGGTGACCAGCTTATGTCATTTGGCTTATTTTTGACTTATAAGCACTTGGCTTATAAGCACTTTTAACTTTACCAAACATGTAGATAAGCCGAAAAGTGCTTATAAGCTAGTTTGACCAGCTTACAAGCTTAGCCAAACACCCTCTAAGGTAGGCGCGATAATGTTGGATCCTATCTGAATGAGTATGATTTATTTAAAAAATATATTTAATTAGTGAAATTATAGGGAAAATTTCATATTAAAATAACTGGGTTGCCTACTTTTCAACTTTATAGCCCATATTTCAATTTACAATTGAGTATCCCAAAAATAACAGGCACATATCCGAAAAAGGGGCGTTATTTTCGTTTTTTGGGACTCAGAAGGGGGATTTTGTATCTTTCAGCGAGATTTTCTCTCATTCTTTCCATTCTTCTTCCCCAAATCTACAAAAACGCGATTTTGCAGTCAATGCAACTCCAAAAACCTTAGAAATTATTCTTCTTCTCGAATTAACAGCAAATCAAACACGAAAAGTGAAATTTTTTTGCTGCAATCAGCGCAATTTTCATTTTTGCTGCAATTTTGATTTCAACTTTTTGTTCGATGGAGCTTTTTCCAGTTTACGTTCTTCATAGTGGTGAATGGGAAGAAAACAAGTTTATCAATTTCGTCAGCGATTGTGTAATAATCGAGTCGACATTCAGCTACAACAATTTAGTTGCAGCTATTTTGGAACAGATTAGGATCGATTGTGAGTTAAACACAATAGAGATTAACTTTCTCCCAAATGATGGTTTGCCACCGATCCTGATTTACAACGATACGGGTGTTAAGGTGTATATCGAACTAAAGAAGAAAAACTTGAATTTCACTGAATACCCGTTGTTTGTGACTGTGAAAGAGATTTATGATAATCGTTTTGTTGCAACAAGTTTCAGTTGTTTGGTTGCTACAAGTTCCAGTTGTTTGGTTGCTACAAGTTCCAATTCTATAGATGTATCCACAATTGATAACACTAAGATTATGCCTGATATCGAATTCATTCAAAACACGAAATTTAGTGAAAATACGGGTATAATAGATAATATATTGAACGAATTTGTGGAGGAGGATCAAGTTTATAAAGATAAAGAGACAGTTATGAATGTGATGAAGAACTTGACTGTACGCGAGAGGTTCCAATTCAAGGTGAAGAGATCAAGCACAACAAGGTATGGCAATAGTTGTATATTCTGTTATATGTATGTATAAATATGTATAAAGTAGTATATATTTGTATATAGGTATTAAAATTAGTATATATCTAGTTATGTTTTTGTATACAAGTGTATTTAGAAGTTGAATGATCTTTAATCCTAGGTATCACCTTATGTGTGTGGATGACAATTTTGCTTGGAGTTTCAAATCTTCTGACGTTTACAAGGCAAATATATTCAAGGTGAGAAGTTACAATAATAATCATACATGCGGCTATGGTGAAAGATACTTAACGCAACGGCAAGCTACTTCAGGTGTAATTGCTAGTATAGTCAAGGACAAGTATGTTAATCCAAAAAAAGTTTACACCGCAAATGATATAACACAGGACATACAAAAGCAGTACGGGATTGACGTGAGCTATATGAAAGCATGGAGAGCTAAGGAGATAGCAATGGCAATGATAAGAGGGAATCCGAGCGATTCATATAAGGAGTTGCCGAGGTATTTGTTTATGTTGGAGCATACAAATCCAGGAACGGTTACAAAGTTGCACAAATCAGAAAATGGATGCTTTCTTTATGTATATGTTTCCTTATATGCATCTATCAAGGGTTGGGAGCATTGCAGACCGATAATGGTTGTTGACAGAAGTTTCCTTAAAGCAGCATATAAGGGTACCATATTGACTGCTTGCACACAAGATGGAGCTGGTGAGTTGACTGCATCTACCTTGTTTCTGTAGTTTGTATAATGTTGTAGTTTCATGTATAAACGTGAATAGGATTTCAGAGCTGCTGTTTTTATAAAATTTGCAGTATGTATAAAGTTGTATAATCGTGTATAACTGTGTATAAGATTTGTATAATTGTCTGAATCCTAATATCTATTTTGTATAAACAGGAAAAATCCTTCCACTTGCATATGCAATTGTAGATTCAGAGAATAATAAATCTTGGGAGTGGTTCTTCATCCAGATAAAGGGTACTTTTGGTGTTAGGGAAGGGATTGTCACGACCCTAAACTCGGATCCGGTCGTGATGGTGCCTCTCGTGAAGACACGGCCAGCTGACATATTCCCACTTTATTTTAAGCAATTAAAATAATAAGTATTGAGTCTTTAACATGATAAACTCCCAAATAAGCAGTGAACAGTACAACTTGCGAAAAACAAAACCAACACAGCCCGACATCGAGGTGTCACCAATCATGAGCATCTATCAATATACTGTAAGTCTGAAGAGTCTACATAGTCTAATACAAAGCTAAAACAGAGAAAATGAGAGAAGGGAAGAAGCTCTGGGCTGCAAACGTCGGCAGCTACCTAGAGAATCTCCGAATCCGCCTGAGCTGGAAAGATCACACTCGCTAGCGGGACCTGAAGCGCCCGAATCTGCACAAGGGGTGTAACGAGTAAAGTGAGTACTCCAACTCAGTGAGTAATAATAATAAATACAGACTGACTAATAAGAAATCACGTAAAGCACATTACAGGCTATAAGAAGCAGTAAAAGCCAGTAAAAGTAATGAAATAGTGAAAATATGCAAGTCAATTTAGTTCAGTTTAAGCTTCTTAAAGTGCCTTTTTAAACAGTTAAGCAAGTAACAGACATGCAACTAGAAAAGGTAAACACATAAAGAACCGTCCGTCGGGCACAATACCGACAAAATCAGCCCCTCGGGCAACACACGGAACAATATCAGCCCTTCGGACTCTATCTCATATCACAATGGGTATTTGCACTCACTGTGGGTGTGCAAACTCCTGGAGGGGCCCCTTACGGCCCAAGCGCAATATCAAGTCATCTCGTGGCATCATCACTAGGCTCTCGGCCTCATTCAAGTCACCTCGTGGCGTACAAATCTCAGACCCTCGACCTCATAATCATAATCCGTGTTTCCTCACAACATAGGCCCTCAGCCTTACTCAGTCAGAATCTCACAAGCCACTCGGACAACAGTAAAACATGGTGCTCAGCCCAAAATGTCATTTAAAATCTCATTTAAGTGTTAAAGCAGAGTAAACATGGCTGAGTTATGAAGACAGTAGAATATAGCATGACTGAGTTCAAGTATAAAGTCAAAACAGTAAGTAAATATCAATAAAAATCTCATAAGGGTTCAAATAGTTGGCACGAGGCCCAAGTATGACATTCAGCCCAAAACATAATGATAGCAAAAGCTTTTAGTCAAATACATGGTAAAACAATCATTCGGGATGGACTAAGTCACAATCCCCAACAATGCACGACCCTATGCTCGTCATCTAGCGTGTGTGTCACCTCAATATAGCACAACGATGTGCA